TGGCACCACCCCCAGCAAGCCTGGATCAGTGGCCTATTGATGTAGTTAGAGTAGCTAATCCCCTCAGGCCATAGGGAACAGGCCCCACCTGCTCCAGCCTTTAAAGGCTAGGCCCAGTCTGCAATATTCTGTCTATGCAAAGACTTAGATATATGCTCCTGATCCTTGTGCACTTTCTTACTTCATCTATCAGATCTCTAGTTTTGACTCTGGCTTTGGCTCCTGATTCTGGTGTATTTTGGCATGTATTTTGACTCCTGATTCCAGCGCACCCTGACCCCATCTTTGGCTTCTGATTCTCATTCTGTTTCTGCCATTTCCTGACCCTGGCTCTGGCTCCTGATTTTAGTTCTGATGCCTGGCACATCCTGACTCTAGTTTTGGCTCCTGGCTCCAGTTCTGACATCTGGCAGCTCTGAACCCCAAGCTCCCTGAGATCCCAGACTTCACCCATGTGTCAGGTGGCCAGCCCTGATCACCCATGCACCAGTCACTAATAGTTTGTCCAGATCCCATTTTTGGCCCTGCAAGGTAGGACCCAGTAGTTGATGTATAAACTGCTCTCCAGCCTCACAACGCTTGACTCCACCTGAGGCCTCAAGCCCCAGGAGGTAGTCATCCATCTCCAGCAGGCGGTTCCATGGCTCCAGGCCCTGGTTGACATACTTCAGAGCAGTACACGGGGGCCTGAGGGCCCTGGTCTCTCTTGGGAAGAGGGTTGTCACCTAAAATGCATAAAACTTTCCACATGTCCATCATCTTCACCACCCTCCAGCAAAAATAAAAGTTGGTGCTGATGCTTCAGAGAGAGAAATAGGACTTGTTAGGCCATCTGAGGGAGGCAGAGGCCTGGGCTGGCACTTAGAAAACACTGAGTTAGTGTCCTATATTTTTAGTGTTCTGCACAAGGACATTTTGCATCTGCCTGCCCTACAAAGAATAAGGGAGGTGGGGGGGGAGGCACTTCCAGGAAACCAAAGTGTGTAGCTGGAGTAAGGGGATCTGGGCCAGCCTGTGGATATGTACCATTACCTTCCATCTACTTTATCTCCCTAATGTCAGGAGCAACGGTCACCTCATGGCATCGCCCCTCCCCATTGTTGTGTATTGTGCATCTTTCCCACCTCATCATTTCTACAACGTGGCAATTGGCCCTAATGGACTTGGGTCCCTTGGGCATCAATGGACATTAATGTCACCGAGGTGAAGCCCATCTCAGTAAGATGTAGGGCCAATCTGTTGGTGATCAAGTTGACTGATGGCACCTGGAATTTTTGGTGACTGAAGATATGGGTAGACATAAAAGACTGTTGTCTCCTGTAAGACCTCCACCAAAACCCAACAACAGCTCCATCAAGACTGTGTTCCTCCACCAAAACCCACAGAGCTAAGCCCTTTGGCTTCCTTCTGCCCATTCCTCCCTAGCTCTTGGCCAGGGTCTTCCTGAATTTTATCTCAGACCTTCTCTGCTCCAAAGGCCACACCACAGTCTTGGCACAGATTGCCTCAGTAAAATAGTCTATTTTGTTTCCTGCCATGGACTGTCCATTGCCTGCAAAATGGCCCAGTCATTCCTTGACAGCATTTTCTGGCTCCATTGGATGCCTGCCAGCATCATGTCAGGCTGGGGACTGCACTTCATATCTCACTTTTGACTGGAATCCCTCCTGCTTTTAGGGATGAAGGAAAGCCTTGCTTCCACCCACCAACAGCAGATGGATGAGCAGACTGAGTGGGCCAACAGGGTGGTGGACCAACGTCTGCTAACTTCTATTAGAATGACTGACTTCCCTCCTTTCCTTGGCCAAGTTTGGTCTGACTTGGACCATTTTTCCACCCAACAAAGTCCCTTCTACACCAACTATAGGTTTCATTTCTACTCCTACTCAATCCTACCCACTGTCTCCCCAACTCTTACTGATGCAGGGTTGGTAACCCAACTGGAGCACATACACAAGGATCTGAAGGGCCATCTCCAGCAGGGTAAGGAGGTTTATAAGAACTATGTAGGCAAATATCACACTGAAGTAGCCTCATTCAGGGTAAGGGTCAAAATATGGCTGTATATCTGACATCTGAGCACCACCTGTTCCTGCACCAAGCTGGAATACCAGCACTTGGGTCCATATCCAGTCACCATGGTTATTATCTTGGTGGCCTTCTGCAGGCAGCTCTACAAATCCATTTAGATCTACTCCATTTTCCACATTTTCTTGCTGGAACCCTGTACAGAGAACCCATTTCTGGGCCACTTCACTTTGTCCCTCCCATTTGTGCTAGGTCAGTGGCATGAAGAGTTCATAGTTAAGGAAATCCTAGACAGTCAGAGAATGCAAGGGAAGCC